AATGGATAAATTTATGGTTAAAAATGGAAGAAGAATGACGCCTGAATGCTCAATTTTCCAACTGCTACTTTTAAGAGCTTCGTCGTCTCGGCAAGCAGGAGTTTTAGATAATTTTTGATATTTGAAAAAGTTTTTCATACGGAGTTGCTCGTTTTGGCAGTAAAATGAATCCGGTGCACAACGTTTTCCTGACTGATGTTGACAAGTTTTCTTCTTTCACTTAAACAGTGGCAAATCGACCACGTATGGTCAGAGTGTTAGTTTTGTCTGACTGATAGCGGCCTTAGCAGCTTTTTTCAATGTTGTGCGTCCAATCACTCTGTATTCCAGGTTATTTTCAGGAATTGTTTTCGTCCAACAATGAGCGACTGAGCTTAAGCTCAAATACAAACAGAAATGTTCCTTTTTATTTGTCGATTCCCTCTAGGAAAATGCTTTTCCTCTTCTGTCTCTCATTGTATACTTGCTAGGAAACTTAACTCGCAAAATAACTTATATATAGCGTACGCCATGGTCAAATTATTAGTTCCACAAGCCTAATGCTGGTGTAAGTTTCACGTCTGATGCTGCATCTAATGTTTACCGTCAATCTTCCTAGGGTTGCTGCACTTGCTGTAAGGCACGCTTATGACCATTTGATATCGAACTACGTCATTTACATAACGTAACATAACATACATAACTAGTTAATAACGTAACGTAACATAACATACATAACTAGTTAATTTTCCGTCATTCATCATACCAGTCTATCGTTATTAATTGCTGATTAACCTGCCGTCGAAAAATGCGATGCGCTCTTGTACGTGTTCGCTTGAGCGAATCTTCATGGTTATCCGTTGACTTATTTTGTAATTGTACAAATTTCTGATAAAACACTGTATCGTCGTTACTTTTACACTCCCTTGAACAGGCCTGGTTGTTTAATCGTTACTAAGCACCAATCAAAAGGATTTTCAGCTAAAATTCCGGGTAGGATCGTGTTAGCCTCATCTGTCAAAGTAGGCAAAGCAGCACCTTTAAGTGTAGGAACGAATCGAATCGTGAGACAGTACTAATTCAGGGAATGAGGATAAGTCATTTATAAACGCGGTGCTTGTGACTGATGGCATTTTAACGAGAACCTATTTTGAAGCCTAAGCTCTATCGAAACGGGTGTAGAAAGTAACGCTCATCATGAACTCATTGTCAGTGACAAACATTTGTCACGTTTTTCTTTCATTCGTCTCACTGCTCTAGGCTATCTTTTGTAGTTCTATCCTCTCTCGTCCTCTCATGCTCTCATACTGAATAACTTCCTAACTTCCCTCAGAACTTAAAACTGAATGTAGTTTTCATGTCAGAATTCCCGACTGTAGGTATATCAAAAGCGTCAATAAAGCATATTGCTGATTGGTGTTTATGCCATGCTAATACAAGCCTCTACTACGCTGTTGAGTAACCCTTCGAGCTAAGCATAGCTGTGTTCTGCTAAGCTGTTGTTGAATGACTTAGCTGTGAAGATCGTTTCAGACAGCTGCGTCATTAATGAGTCAAGTAGCGCCACTGCTCAGATCACGGGTTTTGTTTAAGTACTAGTCGTAAATACATCAGCGGCCGTCGCCATGCAGCGCTTCTGCAGCAAGGGAAGCGCAGCAGTTGCTTTCATGACTATTGCATGCATAATGCCTCGTCGAAGGCAACACTGCACGTGTTGCTTCCCCGAAACAATGGTTAAAACTTGGAAGGCTTGTGC